CTTTTGTGCCTTCCCAAAGGCTCCAGTCATGTTTTCTTCAGATGTACATACTGTTCTCCTGCCATATAATTTCCACCTTCTCTATCTATCTTAACCAGTCTCTAACTCTATTAGTATCTGTTTCTTCTAACTCTAACTCTCTCCCACCAACTCACTCTTGACTAACTCTTCCTCTTAGGCTCCGCCTTTTAACCTTTCTCTTAGGCTCCGCCTCTCCACCATATTTACATAGAACATGAATAATACATGACTTATACCTAACAAAGGGTGAACACTACACTCTCCAAGGAGAACCCCCTGCCTCCTGTAACTGTTGAGCTGCTTCTTATACTTAAAAAAATAAACAGCTTACTTTTACTTCAGAGGGACAAATATCACATTTTACTGTACAGTGATGTCTCAATAAAGCTATAATGATGTGGAGACATGATAGAAATTTGCCCCCCTCCTATTATGCTCCTGTTAGCTTGCATGTATCAGGTATTCAAAAAGTACGGATTTTATACACTCTCCTTTTCTATTTCAATGATGTTGCTAATGTCAACATTGTGAAGAAATGTAAATGGCAAAGATTCACAGGTGTGAGACCATTTTATTACTACAGGATTTGTGTTTTTGCAGCTTTCACTTCCTCAAAGTCTCAGTCCTTCTCCACCTGTGTCAGGAAACATACCTACCACTGCCTATTCTATGTCGACCTTCACTCTCCTTCTGTCCAAATGCTGCGTCTGCTCATCTGGGTAGGGCCTGCTGCTCCTCACTAGTCAAGAGATGGCTTTACTCAGTGATTTTAGGTTTACAGTTTAAATCTTAAAAGTAATCAGTGATTCATTCAGTCTTCAGTAACTGCTACTAAATGTAATTATAGAATTTGTATCTACAACATAGCAAATATTACCGTGTTTCCCCGAAAATAAGACAAGGTCTTATATTAATTTTTTCTCCAAAAAACACATTAGGGCTTATTTTCAGGGGATGTTTTATTTTTTCATGTACAACCATCTACATTTATTCAAATACAGTCATGTCTTCTTCTGGTTGCTGCACAATGGTGAAGGGCAGGGTTTCACTTAACTAGGGCTTATTTTGGAGTAGAGGTTATACTACAAGCATCCTGAAAAATCATACCAGCTTATTTTCAGGTTAGGTCTTCTTTCCAGGGAAACGGTATGATTTTTTGTCTCCTTGTCCCTTAAATTTCGTAGCCTCTAGCCTGATAAAGAGTTCTAGAGAAATCAAAAGATTGCGCATGTCTGAGGCATGTTGGTTGGTCTTTATTAAGGTATTGTCCAACTGTGAATTTCAGCTTTTTCCTCTCAGGATCCCACATAACCATGTAGCTTAAATCCATATAACTACATTTACATATATCTGCCCTTTGCTGTCTTTTGAGTCTCCCTTGTATTAGTCTCTTTTCCACTCCCACAACATCTACATATGGAACATTAGACCGGGGTTTTGTGTTTTGCTAATTCTGTACTTTGACCATCTCATGAGAAGATAAGACTCCCTGGAAAAGACCCTGATGTTGGAAAAGTGTGAGGGCAAGAGAAGGGGACGACAGAGGACGAGATGTTTGGGCAGTATCATTGAAGCTACCAACATGAATTTGACCCAACTCCAGGAGGCAGTGGAAGACAGGAGGGCCTGGCATGCTCTGGTCCATGGGGTCATGAAGAGTCGGACACGACTTAATGACTAAACAACAACAAATGTTATTCAGCAATACCCAGTAGGGTGTAACGGATAGTGTGAAGGACTAGGATTCAGGAGGCCTGGGTAGAATTCCCATTCAGTCCTCAGTGCTCACTGGGGCATGGAAGTGGTAAAACTACTCCTCAAATATCTCACTTACTTGAAAGCCTTATTAGGGTCACTATAAGTCAGTTCTGACTCAATGGCACATAACACTAATAACAGCATTATTCAAAGCATAGGTGGATAATTTTTGTCCTTGTTTTTGGATTACAAGCTTCACAATTTCTTGCTGTTGTCCATGGTTGCTGGGACAGATGGAAATTTTACAGCAAAATATCTGGAGGAAAAAAGATCCCCTGCCTGCTATATTGTGTAATCTCCAACAGACAGAGGGACAAAAGTAATACAAGATATTCTCAGAAAGTACTCACAATACACAGTGCTGTAAAAAATACATTACAACTTGTAGTACAGGCACATTAGCTTGGAATAATATCTGTAAAGACAAATAACATTACGAGATTATGGCAGGGTTGATTCCTCACTAACTTACATAAAACCATCATGTACTAACAACTCATTCATTTCCCAATAACTGATTCAAACAATCCCTTTTAATTTCATGTACAGATTCCACTGAGAACATGTAATTATCATGTGTCTATAATGCAATCTCTTCTCAAATACTTTCAATTAGATTGAGAACATATCCTACATATTTTATTCTAATAACCTCAACACAACTTATTCCTTAGACCTAACATTTAACTGTACAGTGGGGTCTTGACTTAAGAACGGCCCGAGTTAAGAACATTTTGACTTAAGAACCACTCTCATAAGAAAATATTGACTTAAGTACTTAGATTTGAGTTACGAACTGAAAAAAACCCACGTGGGAGGCAGGGAAAGTGCAAAATGTGAACTTTCAGTTAACTGTTGGCCAGTGAAAAGGGTGCCTGTCTGCTTCCTCACTCCTCCCAGCGTTTAGAGAGTGGACTGGGAGACAGTCTTCGGACTGCCTGGTACTGGACTGCCTGGACTGTATTTTCCCTGCCTTCCCTGAACCTTTCTTGACCTAAGAAAAAAAGAAACAAAATATCCCCCTCTAGTGGTCGAAGGCGGAATAGCAGATTCCCATTAGTTTCTATGGACGGAAAAGAGCAGATACGGATCAAATGGGTTTCAATGCATTCCTATGGGAAATGCAGATTTGACCTGAGAACTTTTTGACTTGAGAGCCGTCTTCCAATACGAATTCAGTTCTCAAGTCAAGACCCCACTGTATGTGGTTATCAATATCATAGCTTATCTCTTGAAAATAAATATGTAACCACACTACTACCAATTTTTTATTCATACAGTTCAGACTCCTATTCTTGTATTTTGGAAAAAAAAGTTGAAACCCACCATCTCCAGGTTATAAGTCCTTAATGTGAAGACAGTGATTATACTACTAGTATATCTTAATCTAACCATGCTGTGATCAGCATCTTTTGAATCTCCTGTTTCAGATCGTAGTTCTTCTCGGGACATCTGATGCATTGTGTAATCTCAGAGTGAAATGGCACGGATGATGTCTGTAGTTGATGGTAATAGTAATAACAATAGTAATTATTGTAATGATGCAATTTAGGATGCAATTCTCCATTAGCTGATAATAAGACCTGCTGGGCTCAGTAGAATTTATTTCCAGCAAACATATAAACAATTGTGTTGTTCACAATCCTGGGGTTTCTTGCTCCCCATTGTAGGGCTTGCTATTGTCATGTAAAGTTTTAACGGTTTCTTTCTTTCAGCAAGTGCCCCCCCCCAAAGGTGGTGTGGCCCATGTATACAATCCAAAGGCAAGGGTGGGTGATACCTTTGTTAGATTATTAAACAGCTTCCATTTTGAAACTTAACAAGAGTCTGGCATGCACAACTGACCATGAGTATTGGAACTTTATTTTTCTGCACCATCTACCTCTGTGGTGGCCAGCCTAGTGAAGACCTACTGTGTTTCCCCAAAAATAAGACAGGGCCTTGTATTAATTTTTTCTCCAAATACTCATTAGGGCTTATTTTCAGGGGATGTTTTATTTTTTTCATGTACAACCATCTACATTTATACAAATACAGTCATGTCTTCTTCTGGTTGCTGCACCGTGGTGGAGGGTGGGATTTCATTTAATTGGGGCTAATTTTTAGGGTAGGGCTTATATTACAGATATCCTGAAAAATCATACAGTACTAGGGCTTATTTTCAGGCTAGGTCTTATTTTTGGGGAAACAGGGTAGTGTGTCACCCTGTCTACTACACCACACTGGGTTAGCACTTACCCTCGCTTTCAGGAAGTGCAAAATGAATTTTTGTCACCACAGGAGTAGAACAATCACAGACATTCCTCTACAGTTTTGAGATACAGTATATGAAAGGCAAGTATTTGGTCACAGAAAGTATTTGGTTACAGAAGTCCCTGAGAAGTAGCAAGGGGTGGTCGGTGGAGAAAGGAGAGAGGGATGAGAAGATCCCTTTTAAAATTATTTATTTACAATATTTTTACCCTGCCTTTCTCCTTGAAAGGGGCCCGAGGTGGCTTACAACATTGGAAGATAATATTTAAAGTAGAAAACAGTGAGTATACAATGGTGGTTAAAATCATTAAAAGACAATATTTAACACTAAGAACAATAAGCATAAAGAGGCATCTTAACTCATTAAAAGGCAATATTAAAGCTAAGAATTCAGAGCATGTTACTATAGTCTCTCGAGACTGAAGGATGCCTACTACTAAAGCTGAGAACAATAAATATACAAATATTTTTTAAAAAAACCAACAGCCAACAAAGTGCCACTCTGAGAAATGGGAGTGTGGAGGGTGTGGGATGGTGTGTGGCTGTGTTGGGGGTGGTGGGGGAGAAAGCCTGAGAATTCTTGGGAAACGCCATTTCATGCTCCTGACAGCCCTTCCACCAATCCTTGAGGAGCGGGAGATGCACTCTGCACATGCTCAGGCACACTCTATGCAGCCACCGTTGAGCTCTGCCTCTGGAGGAAAAAGCCACCGGGACTGATCCTCAGCTCCGGCTTCACGGTCAAGAAGCGGCTGTTGGCAGCGAGGGACCAACAACTCTGGAAAGCAGCATTTTAAGTGGCAAGATTCCGGCCCAGAAACACAGGCGTCGGCTATCCCCCCTTCCCTCCCTTGGCCTGGTGTTGTCCCACCTCCTGCTACGATTACGGTCGCTCTGCCCGTCTAAGCTCTGGGGCGGGGCTTGTTTGATTTCTCGAGCGCTGAGTGGTGTGCTCGGAGAAGGGGGCGGGGAAAAGGGCGAGTTGAATGGAAGGGCGGGAGAAGGCGCGGAGCAATGGATGCCGAGGCGGGACGGAAAATGGCGGCGGTAGCGGAGGCTGGAAAGAGCGTGGTGGTTCTGTTTGGGGGGGGGGGGAGGAGGAGGAGGAGGAGGAGATGGTAGCTTTGCCCGCTGTTCTGCTGTTTTCCATTAAATTAGTACTCTCGTATTTTATTGGTTACTCTGCATGCTTTTTAGCATTCATTGTTGCGTGCAATCAAGTCGCCGCCGACCCCTGGCGACCCTATGAATGAGCCGTCTCCAGAGCGTCCTGTTGTCAACAGCCCGGCTCAGCCATTGCAAACTCATTGTATCTGCCTTTGTTTTGTGCTGTGTTAGTCGTTGAAATCATTTGCTCATTTAACTATCTTTATTAAAAAAAATACCTTTAGATTCTGTCACTTCTGGTTGTTGTCCCTAATTTACAGTGCAGTATTGATCTTAAATCTGGACCCATTTTCAGCATTTATATTGCATTTAGGAAAAAAAAAACCTTTCTTGTTCAGCATTTTTCCTATTTCATGCAAAATTAATATGGGATACCCCGTGTGGTGTGTAGCGGATAGAACGACAGACTAGGACTCAGGAGGCCTGAGTTCAAATTCCCCGCTCAGTTGTAGAAGCTCACTAGGGGCGTGGAATTAATAAAACCACTCTTTAAATATCTCACCTGAAAACTGGGTTAGGGTCACTGTAAGTTTGTTCCAGGTTGACAGCTGTTAACATAACACATGTAAACCTGCCTCTGCAGTTTTGGAAAAGATTCTAAACCAGTGGTCAAAACAATTGCTCCAGGGAACCTTGAGCAAGTGGACTTGATCCATGGATCACATTGAAATATAGTATGGCAGGCAACAGCAAAATAAAAATAATTTAAAAAGAAGATAAAAACCATTGTCAAAGACTAACTGCTATGTTTTAATATCTTTAAGGTGCTACAATGTTTTCGTCTTCTTTGTTTTGTTCTTGCCAGACATGCTAACAGACTGACTCAGCTACCTCTTCAAAAATGAAATACTGTATAGTAGTTTGGTCTTTAAGGTGCCACTACATTTGTGTGCTTGTGTAACACGGCTGCTCCTTTGGAACCTCAGTTGCTCCTCAGAAGTTTATCTGGGATTCTGCAACAGGGAAGTCAGTGATGGCAGGCCTGTTTCTTTGAGCCAAACAGCTTGTGCCGTGATCCCCATCTCTGAAGGATGGCGTTGGCAAGTTGGCACCCTTCACTTGTTTGCATTGGCGACTCCTGTCATCTCTGACCATTGGCTATGATGACTAGGGATTATAGGAGTTGTAGTCCAAGACATCTGAAGGGCGGTTCAGAGATCCCAGATGAGCCTCTGAGGAACTCCCAAGCCTCTGGAATTCCCTTGAACAATTAGCCTGGAGCAAGGGATTGTCCCAGCTGAACTAACTGTACTAATTAACTATCTGCATGGCCTAGGAGAGATGTGCACAACTCGAGGCTGCATCTCTTGTCAGCCTGTGGCTGCATCAATGTGTGGGCACATTGTTGTACAAACACATAGGCCCATCGCTCTTTGCCGAGGCTGGGGACAGGAGGGGTTAAGCCTCCCTCCGAAGTGTTAGGGCTGCTGGGTGATGATGGAAGCCACGAGTGGCAGGAAGACAGGAGAGGTTGGTATTCCTCTCTCCAGTCTGCCAAGGCTTAGGGGAAATAGATTTGGATCCCTCTGCTGAAAGGGCTGCGCCTGAAATGGATTGAAGGGCGCCGTTGAGGCACTCCTGCTTGGAAAGCGATCAGGAGTTCCCGACCCCTGTGGAGAGTGTCTGAGGGAGACGAATGTGTGCGGAAACAGCTCCCGGGGAGCATGGAGGTTTTGAGGCGACTTTTCATGTTTCTTGATGTTCTTCCCCGCTCCCCTCAGGATTGTGGCTCAGTGGAAAGATGCACTCACCTTTGAGGGCCAAGCCAAAGATGGTGTAGAGGCCGAACTCCCAGCCCAGGTGTTGGCTGAACATGCCGTGGTAAGTGGCCATTTCCTTTCCCTTTGTTGGGTTTGGTCCTGGCTCTCTCCCAGGCCGTGCTGGAGATCCCTTGGGCTTTGGGGGAGCGGATTACTACCCACTCCCTCCATTTGGTGTTTGCTTCCCCAGAACACCAGGAAGACCCACAAGCTGATGTACACCCAGCTGCAAGTGGTGAAGTTCCTTCTAGATTTCCTTGAGTCTGCCCCTTGCATCCAGGATACTTCAGATGCTGCTGTCCGTAAGTATCTGTGCTGGATGGGTGAGGGTCACAGGTTGCGGCACATCCAGGTGGGTGCCGGGGGTACACTGGTTAGGGACGCCCAGCTAGCATTTTCAATGTGTAGGTAGTTTGGATGGGTGACTTGAACCTTTGTTAGGGGCCTCTGGCAGCCCCATCTGCACTCAGAAGGCAGTCCTGTGGAATTCAGTGAGACTTGTTCCCTTGGAAAAGTTACAGAAACTCTTCTCTACAACAGGACTAAGGGATTGTGGAACTCCATATGTTGTTAGCCTGCAGCTCCTGTCAACCACTGGCCTGTGTAGCCTATCGTAGGGCATGGTAGGAACTGCAGTCTAGCAACATTGTGTGTGTACAGTATGTTTTTTGTGTGTGCATGTCTGCCATAAGTTCTTCATCTCTTCTGCACAACCTTTCTATGTCACTTTTATAACTGACATTGGGCGATTAAGGTTCTTGGCAATCACTCTGTCTTCTGACTGGGTCAGAGTTTGTTGTGGGGCTGTTCCTTTGAGCATCAGCCAAAGTACAAGTATGGAGTTTTGAGTGAACAAGCATCAGCCTAGCTAGCTGGAAAGTTGCTTCTATCAGGAGGTTGCTGCAGCATTTATGAGAAACTCCTAAATCTCTTTCGAAGATTTGGGAGATTCTGTTCAGGGCTAGAGTGAAGGGTTCTGTGGACCACTTCCGAAGATTGCAAATGTTACTTTTTTGGACAGAAGAGCCCCTAAGCCATCGTGGTTCACAGCCCTGCTGGCTGCAGTATTCTGGGAACTGTAGTCCAGTAAATAAATAAATGGATGACAGACAGACATCATTTCTGATCATTTTCTAAGCTTGGACTGTTTCTGGCTGTGATGTGAATGGTGGTCTCTTGCTTTTAAATGTCATTTCTTTGGCAGGAAAGGAAATGGCCGAGGCCAAACAGCAATGGAAGGCCCTCAAAGCTGAGTACCAGCATCAGGTGGAGTCTATCAAGGGGGCCGTACCTCAGGTCCTGGCCAAATTGGAAGAGGGAAGGAACCGGGCTCAGCTCTTGGAGAACGCCCTGCAGCGCTACCAAGCCAAGGTGGTGTGTCCTTATTTGAGGCAGTGCAGATGGCAGACTTTATTGATGTCTTGCCCTTTTGCCCGCCAAGAATTGAGGTTGAGATGTCTGATTGGTCAAACAAGCTGCCAAACATGTTTTAATGCTTGAGCATTGCATAGTTGTCACTTCTGCCCCATTCTTCCGTTTAGGTGGGTTTATAGAGTAACGGTGGGCAACATGTGACCCACGAGTGTTGTCACCTAGGATCGGTGTCACAACATTAAGGCTGGGCAGTCCCAGTGTGTCCAAGGGCCAACTTTGTCCCCTGTAACCCCTCCCCCCACAAGCCACACTCCTGCTATCACTACTGAAATATGGTGGCTGAAGTAGAAACCCCCCTCAAGACTCACTAGTGGGAGAAAAAAAATCACAAATTGTTATTGTGATCGTATGTTCAAAAGTCTAAGGTCAAAGTACTAAATGGAGGGAAACAAATGCCTTCCATTTCTTTTATCTATGCCATGAGAAGTACAGTAGGACCCCATATCCTCAGGATCAGTATCCACTGATTCACTTATCCACAGTCTGAAAATACTAAAAACATTAAAAGAATAATCCCCCCAATATATTTTTAATCATGATGTTACCAGTGCTGGCCACTAGACGGAGATAAAGACCATGCTTTCTATAGCATTCACATTATGTTCTGTATACTGTACAGTACAGTGGTGCCTCGCATTACGATGTTAATTCGTTCCAGCGAAATCGCTGTAGAACGAAAATGTCATAAAGCGAAATTAAAAAGCCCATAGAAACGCATTAAAACCCGTTTAATGCATTCCGATGGGCTGGAAACTCACCATCCAGCGAAGCTCCTCTATAGGGCGGCCATTTTCGCTGCCTGTGCAGCGAGGAATACATCCCAGAAAACAGCGAGGGGCCATTTTGTTTACCCGGTGGCCATTTTGAAACCGCTGATCAGCTGTTCTAAAATCATTGTTTTGCGAAGAATCGGTTCGTGAAGCATGGAACCAATCATCGCAAACCAAAATTCCCCCATAGGAAACATCGTAAAGTGATCACAAAAAGTTCATCATAATGTCTATAGCATTCACATTATGTTCTGTATACAGTATATACATTTTTCAGCATCCACTAGGGAGGGCTTGGAACAGTTCCCCCACAAATGCTGTAACACATGTTGGTAGTTTTATAAGTCCAGTTAATGGATCTGGCAAGCTGCTGGTTTTTTGTTTAGAGGCACCACTGTATATATATTTTTCAGCATCCAATGGAACTGATCCCCCACAGATGCTGTAACACATGTTGGTAGTTTTAGAAGTCCAGTTAATGGATATGGCAAGCTGCTGGTTTTTTGTTTAGCTGTGTTACTACCGGGGTCCTTACTTCCATTTGGGATTTCTTTTGCAGAAACAGGAGATGGAGGAGAAAGCCAAGATTGCCCACGTTAGGCGTCAGAAGGAACAGGTGAGGTCTGCATCACCAGCTGAGCTGGTTTAGGTATCCTATAGTCCCAAATCTTCACTTTTCTTGATTCTGATGACATTTTGCTTAATTCAAGAGTGAGGAAAGCCGTCGGTCGAGTCCCTTGATCTGTTGTAGTTTGATCTTTCCCTGGCAGGAGCTCTTGCGAGAGCAACACCAGCAGCTGGAAAGGCGTGTTTCAGAGCTACAGAACCAGCTGCAGAGGCATCAGGATGAGCTGCAGCTCCTGCAGCAGGAGCTAGAGGAGCAAGAGGCCCAGGCCAGCATCTGGCGGGAGAAGGCGCAGAGGTGAGACCTCGTGTTTGGCTGCAGCAGAGCTTTGAACATTACTTTGGAAAAAGTAATGTGTGCTGTTAACTTGTTCACCCAGGCGGCTTGTCACTGGCCTTCAGTCCTGTTCCACAGCTGTACAGGTGCAGGGGGATTGAGGTCACAGCCAGTGGCAAATATGCCACTAAATAATGAGTTTCTGGCCACTGGGTGTGACATCAGTCCCATCGCACTGGCAGACTTACAGTACAAGATACTGGCCATTATCTTACACTATTTATCCTTTTCACATACCCCTTTTTCAAAGTTGCAGAGAGTCCCCCCACCCAGCCCATTAGGGGCTACAGCTACACCTCCGACTATGCATGTGTGTTGTGTTTTGTTGTTGGTTCTTAATTTTTTTCTTAAGTCTTTAAACCAAAGTTGAAGCCATGTGCAATGAGCTTCAACCTTATACACTTCTGAGAAGCTTTCCTGAAGTGTCCTTTCCCAGGGCATTTCGTCAATCTGTAACTGCAGGGTGCATGCTGTATCCTAACCATAATAATGGTGTGCCGTCCGTTCTGACTTAAGGTGACTCTTTTCAGGGTTTCTTAGGTAGAGAATACTCAGAACTGGTGTACCATTCCCTTCTTCTGGGGGCACCCTGGATCTGTGCTCCCCAATATCCCCAAGGATATTGCTTCAAGGCAACACAAGCTGGCTCTACTCTCCGGAAGCATAGTGTGGAATTGAACTCCCACCCTTTGTCTCTGCAGCCATATAGGTAAACCATGGAGGTATTCAATAACAGCACCTACGTTTTTCTGGGCTGTAGCTCACCTCTTAGATTACATCTGAAGAACTGAGCTGCAATACACAAAAGTTTATGCCAAATCACGGATGTGCTGACGTCATCTTCATCAGTTTTGCTGCAGTTGACTGAAATGGTAGCTTTCCCAAGTTCTTGAACATGCACGGACATTTCCTGGTGTTATCTCAGAAGCTCAACCAACTATTAAAGAAGGTTTGGCTTGGTACCCTGGACAGTGTGGCTAGCAGCAATCTCATCCATTATGCACAGTAAAAGATTATAGACATTTCCATTATGGCAAAATATGTGTTTTCTGGTCTATAGTTCAGGTTTTGTGTCTGTGTGTGATGTTTGTGGTTCTGCCTCATATTTGCTACCTTGGATTAAAACCGTTGTCCTTCAGCCTCCCTTAAAATGGATGGGTAGGATTCATCCTCTTTGCTGCTTTATCCCCATCATGTTTTCTTCACAATGAGTGATATGGGAAAGGTGGCCTAAGAGGCTTTCCTTTTTCTCCCACCCCATCCCTATTTCGCTTCTTCCTTTATTCCAGCACCTCCAACTTCCGCTGCCTCTTGGAGACTTTGAAGGGTATAAAATTGATCTCCGTCTCAGAGACTGACCTGGAGATTGAGATGTTCTCTCCTTCCCAGCCTGCCTCTTCTACACCCCATCACCTGAAGTTACGCTTACACTGGGAGGAGGATGGTAGCGTCACACTGCAGGTAAGAAAGAGCAAGACGCTGGTCCATAGTGGCCTGGCCTGGACCAGTGTCTCGAGCTCGCTTTCTCTCCTTGACCTAGGGTGACAGTCCCTTTTTTGATCCCTCCCTTGTGCTTCCCATGGGCACCTACAGCAGCATCAAAAGCATCGTCCTGGAGCTGCAGCAACATTACTTGCAGGAAGCACAGCTTGTGGCTGAGATTGAGTCACTGCAGAACTGGTGAGCTTCTTACTTCTGCTGTGGATATTTGGTTTAAGGCCCCTGGATATCAGCCCTAGTGTCAATGTCCCCAGGCTAGGGTTAGGAATATCCCTCCCTCCTTTATTTCCTGCTTTTTTTATGTGCATGTGTTTCATTTCTCTGTGTGTATGCGTTGTGTGTGTTTGGAAGAGAATATATTTCTCTGAGCATCAGGAGGCATCCTTCTGGGTTATTTGTGGGCTGGCTTTTGGGGTTTGGACCCAAGCACTTACGTTATATTTATTCATTCATTCTTTCTTTCTGAGAAAATTGGTACAGTATTTTATTTTGTGACTAGGCACTGCCGCCGCCTCCTTCCTCGCCCCATTTGCTGCCACTGTGTAGGAGTGACTGTTACTGTTTCTTAGATTTCCAGATGTGCCCAGGAGTTCAAAGAGGCCTGGAATTCCATGGCTTAGCCACTAACCTGTCCTGCAGTTGGAGAATTGCAAATGGATTTCTGTTTGAAAGCACAGTGCTGTGTAAAGGACCTCTGTTTTGAAAGGGAGCACTCCTTCTACCTGATTCTTTAGGCTTGTCACTGTTGATGCACCGTCTCTGTACTCCTCCTTTCTCCACAGTTTTGCCATTGACTGGAAGCAGGAAAAGCGGATACTGAGTTACCTGAAGCCATCATCAACCTGCAGCCTCCATGTGGAGCCAGGATATCCTGCCAGTGGGAGGATCTCCCTTGTCTCAGTAAAGAGTCAACATGGTGCTGTTGATGTAACTTCTTACCGGGTTAGGATGTGTTTTCTTCTTCTTTTAATCCTACTTTCACCTGGCCAACAAAAGCAGGGTAGGGAGTAATAGATGGCAGAGAGAAAGGCCCACCAAATGGAGATAATCTGTTTCAAATGTAAAGAAAAGCGGGCACTGCCGTCACTGCTTCCCTTTGTGTGCCCACACTCATTTCTGATCTTTTGGTTTCCTGTTCTGTTAAATCCTGGCAGTCTTTCCCTTGCTGCTGCCGAGAGATTCTTTAAATGGAGGTGGGAATTAGTATAATAGCTGAGGATGTCATCAAGGAACAGAGGACTCTTTCAGGCAGTGTAATTACTAGTGAAAGCAGGAGTTTGAGAGGGTTGACACTTGCTGAGGGTCTGTCAGTTCCCTCTGCCTCAGTTTTTTTGGATGTACCCCTCTATCCTGTATGAGCAAAATGGTGCTGAAGGAGATGGCGGGGTCCCAGCGGATATGTAAGATTCCCAAGAGGCAAAACCCTTAAAAAAAAAACCCTTTTATGAAATGGTGTCAGTCTTGGTAGCCCACCCTGCATGACTCAACAGGGGTGTTCAAGATCCTACAGATCGGCCTCCAGATTCCAAGAGGCCTTAGTCCTTGTTGTCCCCCCCTTTACCTTTGGGCACGATGCAGCTGTCCTCAACGTCTTGTCTCTTCTGCAGCCTCCACACGAGAGACCTTCCCTGCAGAACTGGCTGGTATATCTCAGCACTGTGGATTTCAGCGCTCCTTTCCTTTCCTGAACATCTGGTGGTACCCGTGTCTGTGCAGCAGAGTTGAAGACCCAAGTCCCATGGCATCTCACATCTCTGCATTGCAAGGGTGGATGGGAGCAAATGAGATTTATTTGGAACAACTGTCCTCTCCCCTTTCTTACTGCTTTTACTGAATTTCAGCGGTAGTTTCGTGTTTTTCATTATGACTGCAAGCCCAGTATTTGGCTTCAAAGCTTTCCAAAACTGATGAGTTTTCTATTCAATAAAATTCTATTTGGCATTTATTTTGAAATATTTGGGGCCTCTGATTGGATTGTACAGAAGGTTTTGTTTCAAGGCCCTCCAGCTCCCTCTGCCTCCATGTCCAGGAGATCACAGGTTTGCCTTTTTCACCCAGTTGAGAATCCAAGAAGATGTGTCTTGGGACTCTACACAAGCTGCCTTATTATAGATGTCCTTATTTTATTTTTAAGTTTTACAAATGTGGGACGAATGAAAAGAAGCCCAGAAACTCCACAATGAGTTGTGGACAAGCTATCAGTCCCAGGTATATTATAAGAAGCAGGAATGCTGTTATTTCTGGGCAGTGGCAAGATTTTTTTTGGGATTGTCAATAGTTGTCAAGTTTTCGAGTCTGCAAAATTTGATATTTAACTAATAAATTCCCTTTAAGTATAGTAATTTTTAGAAATGTTACTGTGTTTCGACTGAAACCCTCAGAACCTTCTAGTGCCTACTGGTCAGGAGATTCTGGATGTTCCCAAGACCTTCTGAGGGCAGGCTTATTTACATCCAGGTGGATCAGTGCTGCAAACACGAATGATACTTCATGGTAAGCTGCTGTTGGTAAGAAAAGTTTGACATCTGGCCACATGACGGTGCTGTTGTTCCATGCATTTTTTTTTTCAGTGCTGTCCTTTTGTTAGGCCAGGGAGGCAGCTCTAGAGGGCAACTGCAGGACTCTCTTATTTTATTTTTGCCCAGAATGGTTTTCCTGTCCCTATCTAATAATTGGAGCAATGCACTTGTAGTAAAATTAAGCATTCCTCACATTGCATTTCAGGCAGTGATGTTCCTTGCTAAGGGATCTCTTCCATCGATCAATCCAACTTGCGTGCAAGGTTTCTCTCCTGCAGCACTTAAATCTATTTCTATCCCAAGTGCTGAATTTGAAAGGGCGTACTGGGTAGCAGCCGAATGGTGACCATAGAGGTGTGCAACCTTTTCAGGCCTGAGGACTACGTTTGATGTTGCTTGAGAGGGGTGCATGCGTGCTCTCCCCACCCCATGCTACTAGCAACTGGAAGAAAAAAATTCTGGAAGCAAGACCTGCAGGGCTCCTAAAGAGAGCCCTCTTTCTCTCCCCTCTCTCCTGAGGTTTCAAACCCACTGGATAAATTTGGGGGCTCAGCCCAAGCTAATCAACTTGATCGCCAGCCAGCTTTCGGAGCAGGGAGTTGCAAACAGCCAAGGACCACAAAGCGGGCCTCTTTGGGTGACCGGCTCCTTTCCCGTGGGTTCTAGATATTTGGCAGTGCTCTCTCACTAAATCCCAAGGGCACTTCCCTGCCCTGCGTTTTGCAGCTTCTCTGGGCGGTGGGAAGAGAGAGACGGCTTCAGGAAGGCACCCTCTGCCTTCAGTCACAGCCTCCTCCCTGTTGTAGCTCTTCAATAATACACACCCGCCTCCCTCCACGCACCTAATGAGCCTTGCTGCTGACATAGATAGAGGGGTGGGGTAGGGGATAGGCCACGGTGGATCAGCCTGACTTAAGTTAAGAACGTCTGGGTTTCTAGGGAGGGTGTGTGTGCCTGCCGGGAGCATGAAAGATAAATGTGCCTCTCTGACACTTAATGAAAGAGGGATCAAGGCACGATGGAAGGATGTGTGACGCAAATGGAGGGTGGGGGGAGGCATGGGAAGAACAAGAGGGGGCTCAACTAGAGCAGGGGCAGGAAATGAGAAACCAAACCTCAGGTAGATTTCAGTTGCCATCAGCTCCAGCTAGCCTGGCCCAAGGTGGACGATGGCTGATGAGAACAGCCATTCACCTGAAGAGTCCCAGGTATTCCTCACTCTTGTACTAGAGAGTGTGAACCTTTTTTGGGACGTGGGGGGGGCAGGCCTCCCTCCTTCCTTTTGGTAAACCTGTAGTTACTTCTCCCACACCCATGGAAGATGAAATGACCAAGCTATGGATTTGTGGCGAGCTCTCCTTAGGTTGCAGATTGGGAGGGAGAAGCTGGAAACCGCTACAGGACTCCTTGACATCTCTCAGAATCCATCTTCAGTGTGTTCTCTTCTGACCTGCTTTTCGGGGGGGGGGGGGAATGGGAATGCCTGCTATGGTTCGGCCTGCTTGCCCCTTCAAGCGGCTGTACCTGTTCCCTTGGCCGCTCCAAAGCCCTCTTCCTTTCACACCTTGTCAGGCTTCCCTCGGATCAAAAACTGGCGGCACGTCAGCGAGGCTGCCGCCCTTGCAATATTTATGAGCCTGGAGTTGGGAACTCGGGAACGGCCTTAAGTGAGCATTTTCTGCCTGGGCTTGTCTTGATGAAATATTGACGAACACTTAAGGGAGAGGCTGCCTTCGTTCAAGAAAATCTACACTTCGGCAGCCAGGGAACGGAACTCGACAGCCGAGTGTTCTGGTTGGTTTCTCCACCCCCCTCCCCTCCCCCACCCCAAATATTGCTTGAGAAGTCACGAGTGCTTCACTCTGTCGGGTTACTATTCCCCACTTGATCCAGATGATTCTTTTGTACAGCATATATTTAAAAAAACCCTCGCAAGAACAGAACACAGTGTAAAATCTGCAAGTAGACAATAAGCTTACTAGGATCTGACTGGATTTCCACAAGTGTGTACACATATGCTTGTGTTCTCCAGAACTCTGACTGCCTGTTACCCACCTAGCCTGGCAAAGAATTCTTGAGAACAGAACAGCTTCCATGCTCCAGTGGAATTAATCTTCATAAAGGTATTGTCCATATTTTGGATTTTAGGGTCACTCCCCATCGAATGGATGACTGTTAGCTGTGATTGCTTAGCAGCCAGGGCTCACACAGCTGCCCACTCCATGCTTTCCATACTCATACAGTAGATGTTTTTTCATGTTGGCGACAGTCAGCCACGTCATTGGCTTTAGTGGAGCATACATATTCTAGTATCATTCCTGTTCTGCTTATTGGGTTTTTGTAGGGGCTTGGGGGCCAGAATTATCCTGCATTTTATTAGATTTCTCCCTCCCTCCCTCCTGCCATACTTTTCTGTCAGCCCACCGGAGGCTGGCATGAAGCCTCTACTGTATAGACCAACTCTTTACTTTTAAGTTTTCTGTTAGCTGCCTTCCAGAATATGCCCAAGACATTAATTCTGAGTCTTTTCTCTAGCAACGACTTGAGTGCGTCCTCTGGAGGGGCTGCTTTCATGTCCTTGAGGTTTCTACATTCTGTTCTTCAAAACAGCCTTTTGTACTTGCTCACAATGGCCAGGCTTTCCCTGGGAACACACTCTCGCCTGTTCTAAAGCTAATTTTAGCATTTAAGGGAAGCGGGGGGGGGGCAGTGTCTTGTACTTTTGTATACTGGATCTTCTCTAAGACGCAATGAAGCTTACATTTCTGGTTTTGCTTCTGTCACATGCAATGCATATGAACTATTTTGAAAATCAAGCAAAACCTAGATCCGAAAGAGCATCTGCCTGCCTGCCAGTCACCTTCCTAGACATGAAAAGCCTGTTCTTTCTGGACATTAGTATTTTATGTAGTTGTCAAAATAATACATGTGATGGTTCTCACCTGTAATCCAGCTAGATGAAACCTCCACCTCTGGAGGCAGTCTACCCTATGGCCCACAAGAGAAAGAAACCTCCGGTACTCCAGGGAATCTTTGGCTACAGGCAGTGCATGCCGTGGAGCTAGGCTTCCCAGGGAGTACCATCATCCCTGACCATGGGCTATGTTGTCTGGGACTCATGGGAGTTGGAGTCTGAACAATATGGGGAGGGGGGTATATATTTCCTGCAGAAGGTGTGTACGTACTTTCCCAACCTGCTTTTCTAGTGCTCAGAGGCATCTTCCTGGTTATTGTTAGAAGCTGAGCCCATGTTTAGACAGACCTTTTAGTCCAGGGGCGAGGGAGGGATTTTGAGTTCTCTCCTGATGTTTTGTGCTACCACACCCACATGTTTCTCACATCAGGACTGAAAGGAGCTATAGGTCGAAACAAACGGAAAGCGAAATGTTCCCCTCCCACCCAAATGTCAGTCTGAGCCCTGAAAGCAATCTGCAGGTAGAAGAGCTGAACACCCAACTGTCCAGAGTCCTTATGGAGAGAGACAGGGACTGCTTGGAGGTGGCAGGGATTATCCCGTACAGAGTAGAAATGAGGTGGAGAGGGGTGTGTGTGTGTGTGTGTGTGTGTGAAGGATGCTGTAGGTGGGTGACAGAAAAGGGGGCACCTGCTTCTCCCAAACCCTGAATTGGTTTGTTTTATTGCACTGCAATGGTGTGTGGCATGGGGGTTAAACTGCAGCACTGCAGCCAAGCCTCTGCTCATTCTGATGGATTCAGGGAGCCAGCTTGAGGTTAACTCTACAGACACAATTTAATCTGACTCAGGCGAGCACACATACAAAAATGCTTCAAATTAAATCATGTTCATAGTCGAGTTAAACAACCTCCTAGCGGGTGTTTTAAAAAAACACTTCCCGGCCCAAAAAAAGTGTGCTCAGCTGTAAGTCATGTGAACAGATATTTTTATATATTTTTTTCAGTCCTGCTAAACTTGAAACAAACCCAAGTGTATTTTGATGTGTACCTGTACCCTCGTATTTGTTTAGTTTTCTATGGGTAACATCTAGAGGCAGCTTTTCCCCCCCTTTATAACCACAAGGAACGAGAAGGCTCACATTTTCCTTCTAACAGTAAATGGTATTTGCTAAATCAGGAATAACATCACATTTCATGGAGTTATCGCAAATAGGCACCAGTAACAAGGTTTTCATCACAGGCAACCTTTTAAAAAGTGAATTGAATAATCAAACAAAGGAGGGATGACCAATGAAAAAAGCGAACTGGAATTGGTTGCTGGCCCTAATCCCTTTCTGGAATTAATTAGAGAGGGCCTTCAAAAAAGCCAAACTGGCTTTCATGTTCATAGTGTGTGTGTGGTGGCAGGACAGACTGTTGACTAAGAAACCTCTGGGGTTAAATGGAGGGTAAATATTTCTTTTTACAGGTATGTTTTTTTGTGTGGGGGGGTTTTTGCTTCTCCAGGGTTCCTTCCCACTGTGCTGTGATAATGGTTGGAAGCTGGCAGACCAGGATATAAAGGGCTAATGAGGCACTTGCTATACATGCTTATAAAGCATCATCAGGAATGGAGAATCTCAGGATGATGAGACGGAACTTCCCTTATCCCTCACCATTCATTATTCTAACGAGAGCTCATGAGAGAGGTTTAGTAGCATCTGCAGCACTGTGGCAGTTCTTGTCTTCCTCTTACAACTATCATTGTTGTTAGGTGCCACGAAATCACCTCCAACCTATGGCAACCCTCTGAATGAGTGATTTCCAAAATGTCCTGTCCTTAACAGCCCTGCTCAATTTTTGCAAATAGGAGGCTATTAACACCAGAAATGGGAAAGGTTTGCGTTTTGAACTTCGGTTTCCAGAACCCCCACAACAAGAACCACCATTTCGCTATCCCTTTCCTCAGCCCTCGGCTACATCTTCGTTCCCTCCTGAGGGAGCTCTTTGGTTTATGAAGCAATGTAGGATTGAGGTTGTGGAAACATCCATAATACATCAGTAAGGTTAAGAATGGCCCAATGGGGAAGGTGTAATGGGAAGGGAAAGATTTGAAAAGAGGACAAAAAAAGCAGTGGATGAACAAAGGCATCTCTATGCTATACTGCTCAAGCCCCCCCCCCCAAAATCCCTTACTAAAGAGAATCTGTATTCCCCCTCACCAAATCTTTTTTTCACTACACATTTTCCCAGTTGTAGTTTAATATTCCTCTCATTTTTACCCCACATTATTCTAGTCATAGACTGCTCGCATACTCCTCGTTGGTGTTCTTTCTGAACTACTTACCTATTATTAATAGATGTTCCTGCTTTTACTGAGAGTGGAAGTCAGCAGTTACCTCTTGGAAGAAACAGCCTACATGGAAACGACTGTGATCAGAGCAGGTGAAAGTTTGGGGAGAAATGGGTCCACCCCCTCCCTCAGTCATGAAACTCACCGGATGGCCCTCAGCCCCTGACTCTCAGCCTAGCCAGCTTTGACACCAAAACACAGGAGGACGAAGGGAATCATATTCACTACCTACAACTCCCTAGACTGAGGAAGGACAGGATTTAAGAGGTGCTAAGGAACTAACCAAGAGGAAGAGAAACGGAGTCCTTCTGCACTGCAGATTTGTTACCCCACCCTTGGTTCGGGACAAGTAAGAAACATGGTTTTAAGGCAGTGGTCCTCAACCTTGGGCCTCCAGATGTTCTTGGACTTCAACTCCCAGAAATCCTAGCCAGCAGTGAAGGCTTCTGGGAGTTGTAGTCCAAGAACATCTGGAGGCCCAAGGTTGAGGACCACTGTTTTAAGGTATACCTGTGCAGAACATATTACCATAAACAAAGAGCTGCTGCTAAACTCTGGCCGACACCCCTAATGCCATGACTGGTCCTTGCCCATTGGTGGCACAGCAGAAGTGGAGAATGGTAGAGGGTCAGTAATAGGGTAAAGTCTCCACATGCCACCGAAAGAATGAAATTAACAAGGTACTGCTGTCTTAAAATATTTGCAAGCTATGTGGAAAGGAATTGCCCTAGCGGAATATATTATCTGAAGTCTAATGTTCATTTTCAATGTGATAACTCCACAGGGTCAGTTAGGACTTTGTGTCTTGCAGGTCGTATCATTTTTGGCCATTGTGCAAACAAGGTTCATGGCTTCTTTTATTTTGCTTACTGGCCAAATGGTGGAGTGAAAAGCACTTGAAGATATGGTGGGGTTTTTTTCGCCCCAAAGATATGTTTGTTTTGCAAAACATATTCTACTTCCGAGACACACATTTGTGTTGTTTTTAGAATTGGGGGGGCAGGGTCTGGGAAGATCGGGGTAGGTTACCAGATTTAAGGGGTGGGCAGGCTGTACAAGCAGGGTCTAGACACCTGCAAGGGAGTTATAAGCAAGGGGTTCTGACATTTTCTTCTTGTGGCCACTGGGCTTTCTGTCTCTCACTTCTGGTTCTTCAGACAATCCAACGCAATTTTGCCTTAAGGTTTCAAGCTTTTAACTTGTAGGGGTAAAGAATAGAAATCTCTTTAAAATACAAGCAAGCAAGAAAGCAGAAACAATAGGAAATCTAATTAAAGACAACACTGCCAGTGTACAGAAGATACACACCGCCATGCCAGGAGCCGACCTAGCCTTTCATCTAAACAAGGGTTAGACGTGTGTGAGGTGGATTGGGGATTTGCCCAGCTGTGCAGCTGTATGGATTGGTCTGAATGATGCCACAAAACACATTCAAGTCCGGGTCCTGGTAGGGAATGGTCTGCTCTGGGTTCTCACCAGACAACAAAAAGCCTTGGCCCAGCAATAATGGAAGGGAAAGGAGTGGAGGAACAGCTTGGTTTAGAAGATTGCCACGAGACAGTTCTGGTCAGATTCATTCCTTTGTCAGTCAACTCCGTGAGGTTCAGGGAATGCTCTGAGCATGGAGTTAAATCCATGCACCCCTCTGGGCACAGAAATGACAAGTGTAGGAGGAAGTTGTCTGATCCTGTTGTATTTTTTTAAAATGGTCATCTGTTATAAATAAACCCCCAGTGGCCAACTTTAGCTGCTAATAGAGTGGGCCAGCTGCTGTCGCACAGACTCCCATTTTTGCAACTTGAGGGTTTATAAGGAAGAACCCCACCTTGTCAAAGGCAATGTCCCTGAAACTGGAGCTGGTTTTCCAGTAGTTCCTTCCTACAGCAAAGACCCTGAGGGTTTTGACCAAGACATCCACTTTTCCAGGGTTCATAGGCACAATCACCTTACCTATCCCATATTCCCTGCAAACAGCATTGGTTTTATTCCGGTGTTCAAATACTCCTCCTTTGAATTCCCTCTGTTCACTTTGGTATATCTACACCTAATATAGAGGGGAAGACTAGTGGAATAAATTACCATTGTTTTGAGAATGAAGGAACAAATCCACCCTATGTTGCTCATTTCAGGGCTGGAAGCTCCACTTGGTATGATGAAAGCCCCAGACAGATTCAGCCAATGGATCCCAACCTTGGGTCCCTGAATGTTCTTCGACTAAAACTCCCAGAAGCCTTCACCAGTAGCTGTGTTGGCCAGGGTTTGTGGTTGTTGTAGTCTAAGAACATCTGAGGACCCAAGGTTGGGGAGCACTGTGCTACACCATTTCAGGGGACCCCATGGCCCTCCAGATGTCGCTGGAACTCCCATTCAATTCAGTCTGCAAGGCAAATGATGAAGAATGATGTGAGGTGGAGCCCAACAACATTGGGAAGGGGACCACTTCCTCACCCCTTTCCAGGGCATTTATAACCAAAACCAGGCTGGGGGGAAAAAAGCAGACCGGTCTTGTAAAAATACAGGTTTATTCCCCAATATATGTCCACCTTAGCCCCTTGGTATGGGCTTCACCCTTCCAAAAAGCTCCTCATACCCGCCCATCCCTAAAGAGTTGTGCTAGCTTCCTCTCCAGTTATGTGGGCACCATTGTCAGTTCTGTGTAGCTGATGTACATCACCTTAGGGACGCCTGTAAAGGAGACAAAATGGAAGAGGCATCAGGAAGCAGAAGAGATGTATGATGACAGGAGGGGTCACGCTGGGACCCAGAAAGGAAGACTTCTACCATCAGCCTGACTCATCCCCCGGTCATCCCATCTTTGCCTAGTCCTGCTCTCACATGCAGCCACCAACAGGTTTGTAGCCCAATTGGGGCAACACAGAATTCACACCAGGACATGGAAGTCCTATGTTGCTGCCACTCTTATTTTGCACGGTGAGCATATAAATCACACAGGCTGCATGTACTGTCCTTGTGGAGAGACACGGATTCACCCAAAAAGCACTGCTGTCTGATGAGGACTCCTGCTGCTCTGAACAAGAGAGCTTGGGAAAGTTACTCGGTTTGGACAACAACTACCAGCATCCCACCAACTATGCTGCTTGAGGGGATTCTGGGAACTGTGGTTCAAAAAAACAACTTGCCTGAGCTCTTGTACTCACAGTGCTGTACCCTTGCTGCTTGGCTGTAGCACTTCTGTTAGGAAATGCTCTCCCCTTAGAGGCTCAACTGGCACCAACATTGACCTCACGTCAGCATCGAGCTAAAACAAGGTTATCCACCAAAGCCTTTGGTGATTAAGGCTGAAGATGCTCCTCTACTGTTGTTGCTTTAATGGATGTAGTTTTTAATAGTTTAAAAGTATTTAATTTTTTTTAAAAATTGTTTTTCCCCCTTGTATTCTACCCCCAGATTTCAGAATACAGGACAGAATATACATGTCCTAAGTAGGGATGGATAGATAGATAGATACATAGGTAGACAGACAACCCAAGAAATTGAGAGTCACTTCCTGAAATTGTGCCAGCAAGTGCCTGTGCTTTCTGGAGAACCCTGAGAGTTATAGTTAAAGGAAGAACATTATTAAGGCCAGTGCTGCCTCTTCTAAATGCAGTTGTGAAAGGAGCCACTGGATATATGATTATAGCAAATATCACTACAATGAGCAGGAACTCTTAAAGAGCCTGAAGAGCAGAGACCCAATCCATTCAAGGGCCAAGGTGAAATAATTGGCTCATCCCTCTGTCACCCTCTTCATTGTTAGCGGGTTAAATGCAGATTTGCTATCTGAACTCCAACTGCTAGTCTTGAAGAAATAAGATTTGTGAAAGTGTTGATTTATCATTTGCAATTGACTCAGTAGGCCTATTTGAGACTAAAGATTGGATATAGGTTTTAAGATTCAAGGCTAGGATTGATTTCCCTTTTTCCTCCTTTGTTTGTTGCATTTCTGTTGTTCTTGAAATAAGATTTTTTTCCCACTTATGTTCAATATGTGTATGCCACTCTAGGCAGCTTACAGCAAGCAACACACAACCCAGTTTAGATACAAAATACAAAGTGCTGTAAAATAACAGCCACACTGATGAAGAGGCTGGAGTACTTTATGTATAAGGAAAGGCTAAAGCATTTGAAACCTCCCTGTTAAAGAAAGATATTTTTGTCTAAAATATTTAGATTAAAAATTGAGGGTCGTCTTATACATGGAAGTAAGGAGGAGGAGGGATCAAAGCGCTTTGATCCCTGCTTTCCCCCTCCACTTTCTTTGCAAAAAATTGGAGGGGAAAGAGCAGGAATCAAAGCACTTTGATGATTCCTGCTTTTCCCCTCCACTTTCTTACGAGGAAAGTTGAAGAAAGTGGAGGGGAAAAGAAAATGGATGGAGAAAGCAGGAATCATCAAAGCGCTTTGATTCCTGCTTTCCCCCTCCACTTTCTTAATTAGAAGTTTCCTGTCCCTTCCTTGCATTCCAAGGCTCCCTAGAAACTCCTTTTGACCTTTGGGGTTCAGAAGGGCATGGGGACTCTGGAAGGTCCCAAAATTGCTGCTGTTGGTCCCATGACCACAGTCAGGATGGCTGGTGGTGTTTTTGGACATTAAACCACCCCGTGCCCAGTTTCCAAAGCCTTCCCCATGTCAAGAGGTAGGAAATTTTTAAAGTCCATGGTTGGTGACATCATCAGCTTATACACAGAGAGAGCTGGGCAAATAAGATTGTAGCCATTAAGTAAAGCTGCAATCAATACTCAACAAGGCTTACTCCTTGGTAAGTGGGTATAGGATTACGTAGTCTGCTTCTCAGTTTAATCAGGCTTACTGCGACTCCAAAGAATGTGTGAGATCGCTTCAGTCCATCGTATGAGACATGGTAATGCAAGTCCTTCGAAAGAGGGTGCCTTCAGTCCTTTATGTACCCTCCCTCATTCTGCTTCACGTTTTGTTCCCGACACTGATTGCCCCTATATTTTCTTGCTGTCTATCAGTTTCTTTATACTACTAGTGGCTCATTTAACTGCTGGGCCACATCTAGCCCCTTGTACTCTTTGGAGTTCCCAGAACCCTCACAGCTCTAAAAAAATATTCTTATGTTTTTTCCCCCTTCAAAAAACAGCTCAACATTTAAGAGTACATCTACTTATATTTTGAGTTCTGGTTCTTATTATATTAATCAGGAATGAGAAAGAAACACATCGACGGGAAAATAGCAATCTTGCATGATTTAATACTGCATATTATTGGGAGGGGCATACCTTTCTGTTTTTACTACTTGGCAGCTTATTTAACTGGTCGAGTTTTTCCCACCTCTGTCCTTAGGTCAACCCCCTTCTTCCTCTTTGTTTTATCCTCCCTCTCTCTCTCTCTCTCTCTCTCTCTCTCTCTCTCTCTCTCTCTCTCTCTCTCTCTCTACTATCTATCTATCTATCTATCTATCTATCTATCTATCTATCTATCTATCTATCTATCTATCAGATTTTTTTTAGCCACACCATTACCAATGGACTGTGAGTGGCGTACAACAATATTAAAACTTTAGAAAACATTAAAACCATTAAAAACAGGCAATATTATAATAATACTCTATATTAAAACAGTCATTTTATCATTAATAAATCCTGCTGCTTTTACAGCAGCTAAAGGATACTATTTAATTAAAATGTTGGCTAAACAGAAAGGTCTTTGCTTGGTGCCGAAAAGCCAAAAGTGTTGGAGCCAGGCGGATCTCTATAGGGAGGGTGTTCCAAAGTTGGCGGGCAACTGTGAGGGTGTTCCAAAGTTGGGGGGCAACCGCTGAGAAGGCCCTATTTTGACATGCCATCCCCCTCACCTCTTTCAGGGATGGCACCTTCAGAAGGGCCTCCTGGCCTGATCTTAGAGTACGGACAGACACATATGGAAGTTTTCCAGTTTCTTTGTGGTTGTTTGTCTATTCTTTAAACACCTTTCAAGAAGCAATGAGGGAGGTTTCCTCCTTATAAGAAACCCAACTGTAGTCCTTTTTCTTCTGATTGTAACTGCAACTGATCAGTGCAAGTAATCTTCACATCTTAGAACAATTGTTAGAAGCAATGAGGGAGGTTTCCTCCATATCAGAAACCCAACTGTAGTCCTTTTTCTTCTGATTGTAACTACAACTGATCAGCGTAAGTAATCTTCACATCTTAGAACAAATTTTTTTTACTACAAGATCTATGTACCTAAGGGAGAACTGGTGAGCCCATGCTTTTGTTTTTCTGCCTTTTGCTCTGCAAACAATAGAAATAACCAAATTCCTTCTGTATTTGTATCTGTGTCTCTATCTATTGATTGATGGTGTGCTGTCTAATTGTTCCCTTCTCCTGAGGCCACCTGGGAATGTGCAGCTTGACCAAGGCCACACAGGCTGGCTCTACTCACAGGAGGCACAGTGGAGAACTGAATGCCCAATCTCTGGCTTTGTAGCCAGATACCCAAAACAAAGAGCTCTCCAGCCAGCTTAATCATGTGCTGTCAATTCTGACTTATGGTGACCCTTTTCAGAGTTTTCCAGATAGAGAAGTGAACACTCAGAAGTGGTTTCCCATTCCTTTTTTCTGAGGGCATCTTGGGACTGTGCAACTTTCCCAAGGCCACACAAGGCTGACTGTTCGGAAAGCACACTGGAAGGAAGGCACAGTGTGGAATTGAACTCCCAACCTCTGGCTTTGCAGCCAGATACCTAACTCATTGACCTATCCAGTCAGCAATATCTATATCTATATCCCAATCCCCAATAAAAATGACCTTTCCTTCCACCAGTGCGAACCAGCTCCTCTTTGCCACACTGTAAAGCATCTTCTACTGATCTTCCAGTTACAGGAATGTGCATATTAAATGAAACCACTTGATGGGTTAAAAGGTCTATGGTTGAATAATTGGGATGCTTGCACTCCTATTATAAGCCCTCCTATCTAAACACCCCTAAAGGCACAGTGGCATCAGGAAGGAAAAGCTGTGGAATATTTGTGGGTGCAACAGAAGGTTGGGAGGAAATGGTACTTACAGGGCAGGTGAAGGTCAGTCGGAGGCACGTCAGGCGGGGGGGTCATCAAAGAGTAAATAAGACAGCGACACCTACTTTTTGGCTACTTACTGTCCGGCTTCTCATCCTTGCTCTCGCCATTCTGGGCGCCCTTCTGCGAGAGCCTCGTGGACGCATTGACGGCTGTGGCTGCTGCCTTGAAGCTACGCTTGCGTTTCTGCACGTTCTGCTCTGGATGGAAGATGATGACGTAGACCTTGGGCACGTAGAGCATCCCAAGGGAAACGGAAGCGCTCAGACTCATGGAGACGGTCAGTGTTGTTGTCTGAATGTAGATCTGGGGGTGGGGTGGTGAAAGAGAAGAAAATGGAACACTTGTCACAAGAGTAGGAGGGCTCGATCTTTTAAAAGTCCCTGGACTGGGGCTGCTGTCTATGCGGGGGTGGTGGTCAACCTTATTTTGGCCTGTATCGTTTCAGGCATGAAGTGGGAGATAGCATATTTTGAATTCTTCCCAGTACTATCCATTAAAAAGCTCTGTACCTAAAAAGCCAGTATTTCAGAAAAGATTCAGCTAGGTTTTCTTTCCTGATGGACTATTCATTTTGCAGGAAACACCTGCACTCTGTGGCCTGTGGTCTATCTAACGTTGTTGGGTTCAATGGACTTTTCAGCACACTTGAATTTAGCAGTGGAACTGGTAGCCCACATGTGTAGGATCCTTTCATGAATCTGCAGCCAGGGTAAGGAACCCTTGTCCCTCCAGATGTTGGGAATTCAGCCCCTACGATCCCTTACCATTGTCCATGCTGGATGAACCTGATGGAAGTCTCAAGACTAAAACATATGGCAGGTCAGTGATCCTTCACCTTTGCTTTGGAAAATGTATATGTTTAACTGGCAACACTCAATGAATTTCCAAAGGAAATGGTGTGGTGAGCCTGAGCGGAGACATGTCCAGTAAAATGATTAGCTGGTTACAGCCCAACGGGACCAAGAGACATGGCAGAACTGTACCCATCCAAGTGTGTCCTTCACCTACAGAGTGTCTAAAGCACATGAAGTGTGCTGAGGAGGGGGTACCCCACTTGACCCTCCAAATGGATGACCTCGAAAGACTTTCAGTAACTTCCATGATTCCTTACCATTGGCCGTGGCCAGTAGCAGGGTTGGCGAGAACAGTACGTCAACACACTTGAGGCAGGGGGGAAATTCCCACCTTTGATCTACTTCGTTCAGTCCTCCCACCTTTTCTGATACTTGAAGCCAACTTATCCTGCCCCCTGAATTTGATATAAAGACCTGCTTCAGTGTAACTCACAGAAAAGTTTCACTTTGGCAGAAGAAAAACCTGGGCACTCTTATTATCTAATGAATTTAAATGAACAACGCCATTCCAGCAGCTTTCTCACAACACACCCACCGGGAATCAGTTTGATAGATCAAAGAAATGTTATGATATTTAAATAACAGCAGCAGAGCTGGAAGGAACCCTAAGTAGATCATCTGTCTAAGCTCCAGTCTCAAAGAGTATATCTGCACTAGACAGTTATAGCAGCTTGATATCACTTGTAACATTCATGGCTTGATCCTATAGAATCCTGGGATTTTTAGTTTTGGTGAGGCTCCTAGAATTCTCTGCTAAAGAGCGCTAATGCACTTCCTTAAACTACTGCACAGAATTCCAGTTCCTTAGCCAAAACATACATTGCAGCATTCATTATGTTCGAGTCATGAGAGTTCAAATATTATCAGCCAGCTTTAACCCTGCAGGGTAGCTACAACAGTATATTATTCTCCAGCTTCTTCCTTCACAATGATCCTGGCAGGTAGGTTAGGCTAAGCAACCACATGCAGCTTGGGCAAGTAGGAAGGGGAAAATTTAGAAACAATGTCCACGTGTATCAAAGCCTTGCAAGCTCCTTAAAATGAAAAGCAGCTGAGTTTGGAGGCTGCCATTTTGAGTTGAGGAATGAAGGAAGTGCATCGCTCTGTTTCATACTGTTTCCCCCTCCTGAAAATTCTTATCTCAAGCAAGCCACTCCCCCTTCCTTCTATCCTGTACCCATGGATGCAAGATGGCTATTTACAACACACCTAGAATTAAAGTACAGTACATGTTGGCAACCCATGATGTACAACCCATGTGCCACTTCCTTGACTCCTCTCTGTGTGATCCTGTGATTCCCTGCTCTGTTTTCCTGGCTACTCACTTGATCACTAGTGAAGGGGAGAAAGATACTGGTGAGGATGGACAGCTTTGAGAAGAGGCAACAGACAAAGGGAATATCTGTTGAGATAATAACTATCTTGCATACACTAATACAAGGTATCAGTGGGAGGGGGCTATTCTCTTCTGCCAGTAACCTATTAGTAAAGTTCTTTTTCCTGCCTCTAGCTTGCCCTACTTGTCTTCATATTTGTTTGCTTTGTTTCCTTTGTTTGTTACTCTCCCCCCTCTCCTTTCCTGACCTCCAAGCATGTAGGAACCATGGAGCGGTCTCTCCTATGTGTGGAGACTCAGTTTTTCCAAGTGTTCTCCTGACTATAACTATAGATAGCAAATGCAGGTAAAGATGCCCCTTTTTCACTTAAAATGTTTCCAGAGTGATTTTTAACATATATAAGTGCTAGTCATTGTGAAAATAGATGGGCTACTGAGATTTAAGCTATTCTCTCATGCTTTTCTATACAGCTGTTTGTATATGATATTCTGATGATAAAATGAATTAACCAAATTCTTCAATAGTATGCTTTCTTCCTCTTTCTTCCACCACAACAAGCCACTGTTCTATTTTCATAGAAGCCTCAGAACTTCTATGTCATCAAAAAACTTTTTCTCTCACAACTGGTGCTTCATTATTTGCATGCATATATTCTGATTTGTCTCCAAATCTCCTAGATGAGTGAAAATTTGAACTCAGCACTCTTAGTACAAATGAAACACTCTCTCTAGCAGTGGAGATGCCTATTCCTCAGACACTATTCATATATTCCAATTCCTCTCTTTTGCAGCAGAACTATCTCTTAGAAGAGCTAAACTCCTGGGCACTCTTATTATCTAATGAATTTAAATGAACAACGCCATTCCAGCAGCTTTCTCACAACACACCCACCGGGAATCAGTTTGATAGATCAAAGAAATGTTATGATATTTAAATAACAGCAGCAGAGCTGGAAGGAACCCTAAGTAGATCATCTGTCTAAGCTCCAGTCTCAAAGAGTATATCTGCACTAGACAGTTATAGCAGCTTGATATCACTTGTAACATTCATGGCTTGATCCTATAGAATCCTGGGATTTTTAGTTTTGGTGAGGCTCCTAGAATTCTCTGCTAAAGAGCGCTAATGCACTTCCTTAAACTACTGCACAGAATTCCAGTTCCTTAGCCAAAACATACATTGCAGCATTCATTATGTTCGAGTCATGAGAGTTCAAATATTATCAGCCAGCTTTAACCCTGCAGGGCAGCTACAACAGTATATTATTCTCCAGCTTCTTCCTTCACAATGATCCTGGCAGGTAGGTTAGGCTAAGCAACCACATGCAGCTTGGGCAAGTAGGAAGGGGAAAATTTAGAAACAATGTCCACGTGTATCAAAGCCTTGCAAGCTCCTTAAAATGAAAAGCAGCTGAGTTTGGAGGCTGCCATTTTGAGTTGAGGAATGAAGGAAGTGCATCGCTCTGTTTCATACTGTTTCCCCCTCCTGAAAATTCTTATCTCAAGCAAGCCACTCCCCCTTCCTTCTATCCTGTACCCATGGATGCAAGATGGCTATTTACAACACACCTAGAATTAAAGTACAGTACATGTTGGCAACCCATGATGTACAACCCATGTGCCACTTCCTTGACTCCTCTCTGTGTGATCCTGTGATTCCCTGCTCTGTTTTCCTGGCTACTCACTTGATCACTAGTGAAGGGGAGAAAGATACTGGTGAGGATGGACAGCTTTGAGAAGAGGCAACAGACAAAGGGAATATCTGTTGAGATAATAACTATCTTGCATACACTAATACAAGGTATCAGTGGGAGGGGGCTATTCTCTTCTGCCAGTAACCTATTAGTAAAGTTCTTTTTCCTGCCTCTAGCTTGCCCTACTTGTCTTCATATTTGTTTGCTTTGTTTCCTTTGTTTGTTACTCTCCCCCCTCTCCTTTCCTGACCTCCAAGCATGTAGGAACCATGGAGCGGTCTCTCCTATGTGTGGAGACTCAGTTTTTCCAAGTGTTCTCCTGACTATAACTATAGATAGCAAATGCAGGTAAAGATGCCCCTTTTTCACTTAAAATGTTTCCAGAGTGATTTTTAACATATATAAGTGCTAGTCATTGTGAAAATAGATGGGCTACTGAGATTTAAGCTATTCTCTCATGCTTTTCTATACAGCTGTTTGTATATGATATTCTGATGATAAAATGAATTAACCAAATTCTTCAATAGTATGCTTTCTTCCTCTTTCTTCCACCACAACAAGCCACTGTTCTATTTTCATAGAAGCCTCAGAACTTCTATGTCATCAAAAAACTTTTTCTCTCACAACTGGTGCTTCATTATTTGCATGCATATATTCTGATTTGTCTCCAAATCTCCTAGATGAGTGAAAATTTGAACTCAGCACTCTTAGTACAAATGAAACACTCTCTCTAGCAGTGGAGATGCCTATTCCTCAGACACTATTCATATATTCCAATTCCTCTCTTTTGCAGCAGAACTATCTCTTAGAAGAGCTAAACTCTGTGAATTTCTTTTTGCATCTCCTTAGTATTACCTAGTGTTGCATAAAGTGTATAAACATAATTATGTTTTATATCTGCTAAATTGCTATCCTTACTTTGAAGCACAAAGTAAGGGGGGGGAAGAAAGATGATGCCAATGTCATTGATTATTCATCAATGTCACAAGAGCCATCAACCACAAGAGGAAAAAAAGACCAGCTGTAGCTCAGATCTCTCATACAGTACTCTTCACACAAGCACATACACACACAAAGGGGAATCTGATGTGACTGTGGCAAGTCCTTCTTCCAAACACCCAGCATAGCTGGCAACCAGGCATGTCTCCCTAGAGACACAGGGCTGGCTTTCTGCAACCCGGTTGCTGTTTGCCATTTAAATGCTCCCCTTAGAGCAATTCATGATAAGCTGTGAGTGGCAGCTTACCAGCCTCCTTTGATGTGCCCAAAATAAGCAGGCGAGATGGCAGCTCAACCTTTCCCCCTGAATGCTTTTGAAATGTGCAGCAAGTCAGGAGCAAAGGAACTGCACCCTATCTGTCCGATGGTGAGATGGCCGTGCAATCATGAAGGATCATCAAAATGCACTCAAACCAAAGGCTCCTTAGCTAATACATTTTTTTCCTTCATGCATTTCCGTTCCCATATAATTTACCTTAAATTGATTCGCTGTAACAATCTGTATGTTCTGTTTCTCATTATGTGGCCAAGTGTTTTAGCTTTCTGCATTTTATGGTTTCTTGATTTTTAGTTATTTGCCTAAAAATCGTAAGAATTTTTTTAAAAGTGCAATGAAAACATTTACTCGTGAGAACATCTCCCACACCATCATCCTTGTTATAGGAGATGCTTGGAGTTGTGCCTCAGCGCATTAGGATGGTGCAAAGCATAGGAAGGCTGCTGTCGGGCTCCTTCAGATGCAGCATTTGCTCCTTTTCCCTCGTGCCGCTTGTTGCCACTTAGTGCCACTTAGCGCCACATGAATCTGGATTTCATGACTCATTCCTAAACCCCACTTCTCTTTAAGAGATAAGGGGGCAAAAATATTTCGAAAAGCTTGAAGAAATATTTCAGAAACAATTCTCTGTACAGGATTTGTGTGTGTGTGTGTGTGTGTGTGTGTGTGTGTGTGTGTGTGTGTGTGTGTGTGTGTGTGTGTGTGTGTGTGTGAGAGA